ATTTTAAATGAGATTGGAAAATAATTTGCCCCTATGTGCTTAGTTTCACAATGTAAGGAAGATTTTGAGAAAATAAGTTGTTGGGAAAATACAGACTGCTCTGTTTTCTGTTATGGTAATATGGTAGTCAGTCTTCAAGATGATTCTTACCTTCCAGTAAGAATATATCCTTGAAGCTGTAATAGAAATGTTAGAATGTGCTATGGTTTGGAATTTGTGGGTTCCAACCCCTCAGATGTAGTATGTTGAAATTTTAACTTTGATGATGATGTTAAGAAGTGGAAGAAGTTAAGCCATGAAAGGAATCACTGTTGGTGCATTGGTTTTAGGCTTTCTTGCTTCCATCAATAAATCTCATTTATAAATTAGCTATTTGTGGTGGCTTAAAGGGACTGAGACACAGTGTTACCTCTGTAAGCAGGTCATGAAAGACACTGAGGTTCTGCTGTGCCCTCTTGGGTAACTTCTTCCAACATGCAATGAAGGCTCTCAACCAGCCCTATAGGAAGGTCTTCATGGTGAGAAACTGAGGCCTCTTACCAATAGTCAGTTTTGACTTAATAGTCATGTGAATAAGCCATCTTGAAAAAGCCATCAGTGTTGGAAGCCCCAGTTAAGTCTTCTACAGCCCTGGTAGGCAGCTTGACATCAACTTTATAAGACCCTGAGCCAGAACCAGCCAATCAAGCTGCTCCTGTATTCCCAGCCCACAGAAACTGTGAAATAATTGTTGTTTAAGTTACTAAGCTACTATGTTTTAAGCTCCTAAACTCTGTGAAATAAATAACACAGATGGTTAGGAAGGAGGAATAAAAATAGTACCTGCAGGCCTTTCATACTAGGCCTGGACCTGTTTTAGCCCCTAATAGTAGAATCAGTGCTAAGTTCATTCCTGCTTTTGAACATCCCTGACAACCAAAGAGCACTGTCATAGAGGATGACAAAAGAGAGGCACCTTTTTGTTCTTTTTTTAAATGTATTTGGTTGTTACAGGGTCTCACTATGTAGCTCAGATTCATAGTGATCCTCCTGTTTTCAGCCTACCCAGCTGGGATTACAGATGTACACCACTACACCTGGACTCTGTGGCCAGCTCAGCCTACCCTAGGGGTGGGGCTGGCGTGGCATATAGTGCCAGGGATCAAACTGTGGACCCTGGGCTTGCCTAAGCAGGTGCTTTAGTCTGCTGAGCTAGGCTGCTGGCCCCCAGAAAGACTCCTTTTTGTTTTTAGGATAGGATAGGATACGGAGAACACTGAGAACTTACATAAATTTTGATTTTTTAGAGTTCAATAGCCCCTGGGAGAAGTTCTTTGGATTTGTTTCTATGCTGTGGTACTTCCAGTCCTTGCAAGCAGAGCTTGTATCTTATTTTATCCCCATTGCCTAATCACACACACAAATAATGAGTGAAATCAGTGGGAGGACAAACACCTCTCCTTCCTTTTGAATTCTGAAGAAATCCTATTCATCAATGAAGCCTCGATAACATAATGCACATCATTTTCACTGTTAAATAACCCACATCCCTCTATTAAGTTTGTTGCTTTTAGGAGCTCATTCCCTTTTGACTCTGCCATCCCAATTCCTCTGTGCAGTGTTGCTTTATCTGTTGCTCAAGATTTCAGCATGCTTGATCCAACAAAGCACAGAGGTCTGCTGGTAATACACCAATATGCATCATAAAGTTGTCCAAAATCATAATGGTAAGAGTCTTGGGCTGAAGTTAGGAGACCCAAGAGACCAAGTTTTGGGCAACTCTGTCATTGATTAGTCAATATGGCCTTGGGCAAGCTGCTTTCCTTTTCTGGACCTGTGGTTCTCCCTGACCTATAAAGTCATGCATGTTCTCATAAGTTAGGATTACACAGTACAATCCAGAAGTGCAACCCAGTGGTCAGCATACCTCTGAGACACTGTCAGCTTCCAATGCAAAGCTTCCTGGGCTTTCTTTTATTGGGCCATGGATGCAGGTTCAGTGAAAGGCTATAGGTTGATAAGAATCAGTTTCAATTACTAACTCCAGATGACCTTGGACAAATTTTTCTCGTGGATCTTAGCAGGAAAGGGAGGTCCTTATTACTTAGAAGTACCTCGAAGACCCTAGAGAGCTTGCAGAGACAGCCTTCTACAACCTTGGATGCTTGTCCCTGGAGCAGTCCCTACCCACCCCTCTGAGCTTAGCTCTGGAGATAGCTACAGGTGAGCTCTTAAGAGAGAACTTGGGTAATACAGAAGAGGATGGCTGATAGGGGTCACTAGTGTGATGGAATGAATGCAAACGCTAATGAATAAATGAATGAACGTTCTCTCTCCATCCTTAAACGCATGCATACTTGTAATTAGTAATTTAGATCTTAAAATTTTCTACTGAAACCCTCAAATCTTTCAAAAATCAATTAGTCTTCCCATTTATTGTCCTTTCATGCAACCTCTTACACCTTTTACTAAAAGGCAAACAGTAACTTTTAAAAAAGCAGTCAAGTGGAAGACAATGTGGACAACCCTCTTCCCGAGCTCCTCGCCCTCCTGGCCCCTGACTTGGGTGGCTCGGTGAGAACCCCAAGTCCGCTTTCTCCACTGGGGAACCTCCCCGGGGGCGCCAAGTGCTCTCCCTGCTTTGGAGTTGGAAACAGCACGCGGTCGGTGGGAGTTAGGGGCGTTCGGGATCTAGTATGAGCGATCGCGCCTCTTTACACTCTTCGGTGTTCCGCATCACCACTAGCTCAGACCCGCGGGTCAGCCCGATGGGCGGTGGGCTAGCGCGCGGCAAAAGCAGGCTGTCCCAGAACAACCCCTGACCACCTGTAGAGTCGGCGTGCCAGCTGCCTGCTCCTCAGCGCCGCTTCAGTGCCTGCCGCTTTACAAGAGGTACTCCTGGCCAGAGACTATCGGGGTACCCCCGCCCGCTCCGCAGCCCCCTCCCGCGCTTCCTCCCCTTCGCAAACCTCGGGTAGTAGCTCCAACAGCCCCGGGCTCGGCGCGAGCCGCCTCCTCACTTCCCATTGGCTGAGAGAGCGGGGAGGGCGGTCACGTGGGCGCGCGGCAGGCCAGCTCCGGGGACGCCATCTTGGCGGAAAGTTTGGGGGGAGAGCTGCTAGGGGTGCGGAAGGAGGCGAGGTTCCGGGGGGTGGGGCGGCCCGGAGGCCAGAGGGCGAGTGGGGCTGCGGGCCGTGGTGACCGAGGAGACCGCGGCGGCAGCTGAGGAGGAGGAAAAGGCAGCGGGGGTGCGGCCGGCGCGAGGAGCTCCTCCCCCGTCCCTTCACCCGTCGACGGCGCTGCTCGGCCCGGGGCGGGGCGGGGGTACGTGGAGCCGGGCCGGACTGGAAAGCCGCTCAGTGTCCGGTCGAAGCGCACCCCTGCGCCCGCTCCCGCCGCCCGCGGGAACTTTGTGGCCGCGCCGCAGGTGTGGGGGCCGGCGGAGGTGTGCATGCGGGGCGCGAGGGCGTCGCGGAGAGCGGCCGCGGTCCTGTCCGGTCCCCCTCGGAGTGGCCCGGAGGAGGAGGGCGAGGAGCAAGGCAAGCGAAGGGAGCGAGCGGGCAGGGTGGGGCGGGCCGGGGGACCCGCGCTGCTGCCACCCTTCTTGAGCGCTCTGCTTGCAGGGACAGGGACGGGGCCGGGGCGCCTGTCATCCACCCACCACTCAAAGCAGGTGGGAAGACCGAGACAGGGTACTAAGACTGGTGTGGCGGGGTGGGGGTGGGGGTGGTCTCGGTCTCTCCCAGGCTCCTGGTGTTCTTTGGGGAGGGGGAAGCTTCAGAGGAGAATTTGGAAGCGGACTAGTGCCTGCTCCTGAGCGGCTGGGCTGCTCACTTCTAGGAAGCAGCTTTTTGTGTTTGACACTGCTGGGCTTTGAGGCTCTTCTTCTCACTTAGGAAAACTTTAAAAGGTGGGTTTTTCAACTAGGGCTGTGAGTTTCCTGATTGGAGATGTAGGAGAGGTCGTACTTTAGTCGCGATTTGATTCTTTAGTTCTTTCCTTTTCTGTTTGTGTATTTAAAGGTGTGTGAACCTCTTCCTGATTTCTGGAGAAAAATGCCGGTCCGGAAGCAAGGTGAAAATTTATTTCTGAACTCACGTGAATGTTGCTTTCTTTTCCATCGTATGTCAGTTTTGTGATTGGTGTTTTGTTTTTTTTTTTTTTTTTTTTTTTTTTTTTAATGTTTGTGAAACTTCGATGAGATGGCCAGGTCCTACCTTTTCTGTTTAGGACATCTGAGCTTCAGCGCTTGAAAAAAAGGAACTATCCAAGTGTGTGTTTTCATGATGACCCCTCTCCAGTGATAAGAGAATGGTCTCCTCTCCCATGTCGTTTTAAAAACTGAAGTGATGTATTAGTATTTCACTTTGTCATTCTCACTAAACATTTGTCAGCAGCTGGAGTACTAAGAACTCATGTTGGATTATGACATATTGCAGATAATTTGGTTTTGACTACCAGATAATCTGAAAATAGATTGCTAATACACTGATCCAAAAAAAAAAAAATTTTTTTTTTTACTGTTGTAAATTACCAGCCCACATTTATTACAAACTTACCTGCCTCCTTTTTTTACTATATTTTTCAGTTTTTCTTGGTCCTTCTAGGGAATATGGGTAGTGACCAAAGTGATAGCAGTTAACCTGGAGGACTTGGGAACTGTTAAGATGTCCTATAGAGTCATTTGGAGAAACATACAATATACACACTTCTCACTAAAGTCTTCTTTTCTTCTCAGATACCCAGAGAGCTTTGCATCTTTTGGAAGAGTATCGTTCTAAACTAAGCCAAACTGAAGACAGACAGCTCAGAAGTTCCATAGAACGAGTTATTAACATATTTCAGAGCAACCTCTTTCAGGCTTTAATAGGTGAGAATTAAAACTTTATATATGGTTTGTTGTGTTGGGTAGGTGTAATGCTTGTCTGAATTTAGTTATTTTTTTTTTAATTTAGTTATTTTAATCTTAAGGATGTGCTGGGTTCTCTATGAGGTATACAGTAACTTGAACATCTTCAATGAATTGTGTGTTTATTATAGTTCTGTATGCTTTCTAAAATATCAGAAAACCAAAAACCAAACCTTTCAGTGTGATGATTTTAGTTGTCTTTAAGAATACTGTTTAATATCCCAGAATTACTGTTCTTAGTATGCTAGACTTACTGTTAAAAGATGAAGAAGTTGTAGAAATGTTTCAGGACCCAAAGATGATTGACTTAGTGTCAGCTTATTTTTGTGGTTGACTTATATTTCTTTAGAGTCCTTGAAAGTGTCTACAAGGCTCCTCTATGTTTAAGAACATTTATTCACTCCTTGTGGGTGGACCTCTGCTATATTTGCCATTTATAAAGTCAGAATTTCAGGCTCAGAAAATTATCAGATGATCTTGTCTAATAAACTTATTTTACACATAAGAAAGTTGAAGCAGTGTATTCTTAACTGTAACTTAAATTAAAGGTGGAGTGTTGCTGTAAGAGAGAATTTGATGTCAGTAGTGCTGAATTCAATTCTAGATGATGCCACTAATTGAATAGTATTATACAAGTCATTTAGTATTTTTAGGTCATTGTTTTACCTTTAGAATGTAAATAGTGAAATGAAACAATGGATTGTGAAGACTTTTAAAGACAGGTATAATTTTAAGTATATATATATATTTAATACAAATCCTGATTCTTGAAACAAGTGGTTTGTCACTGGTCCTTTTCTCCAGGTGCCTGGAAAAGTTTGCAGACTACTGAACTAGAAAATGTTCCCTCCAATTTTAAGAAAGAAAGTTTAAATAATCATTGATAATATATCTTTTAAAAACAAAAATATATTGTTCATTGCTTTATTTCCTTAGTAACTTCCAAGCAGCTGTGCCTTGTGTCTATGGTTAAGAGTAATTAGTGTGATTCAAAGACTACTTTAAAGTTATTGTATCTTCTCAAGTAATTTACTGATAAATTAATGCTTTCTGCTGAATTTATTTTAGAATTAAAGATTTTTAAGACTGCTTGCTACACTGCAAAAACTTTAAACCTAACATTAATAATGGACTTTAAAATATTTTTATTAGTATATGTTTACACTACATAATGTTCACGTTCCTTGAGTGGAATTAATGCATATATATAACACATCTGAATTGTTTCATCCCCTTTCCTCCTCGCCTGTCCCACTGTTCTTGATCCCATTCCCATCTGCAATAGTTCTATCTCACTACTTCCTATTATCTTTTATTTTGCCCTTTATTTATAGTCTGAGTTCCTTCATATAAGGGAAACCATCCAGTATTTAAGCTTGTGTGTCTAATTTCTTTCACTTAACATTATAGTTTAAGATGCAAAGCGTACATTAAGAATAGAGAACACAATATATTGAACTACCTTATACCCATCATCCATCTCCAAATATTTTAAACATTTTGCCATTTATGTTTATATTATTAATGTACCTTTTCTTGATAGCTGAGACTTAAGGTCCAAGTAGGTAATTAAATTGGACCCTTTGGAAAAAAACAGCAAAATGAAAGAAAGCTACTTTTTTAGTTACTTGGTTTTCTAGATCAACATTAAATTTTTTACTCAGTGGTATCACTTTTCAACATGACTTGTCGCTCCTTGTTTATATATATACTTACTTAGACTGCAGTCTTTCTATGTGGGATGGCCTTGTCTTAAGAAAATTCAGTGGTTAGTGAGGTAACTGATTTATCCTTCTATTTTCCCTTAGATTGGAGATGGACTTGCTGTGTTTGTGGGTACTTCTTATGTATTATACATTTCCTATTTTGAGTGTTTATTCTCAATGCAGAATTGGATTTTGGAAGTTTTCTAATTAAGTTTATATTTGTGGATCTTCCTGAATAATTTTGGTGATTAAAAATTTATCCTTCATACTTATGTTTGCTTGTATTTTAATGTTTTATAGGATGTGGTGTCTGATTTTTGTTTAAGAAAAGTAATATGGTTTAGGAATTTTGAAATAGATAAATTTAGAAGAGGTATTTGTCTTTTCATACCATAATTGAATTAATTGTATCAATTCAATACTACTGAATTGATAAATGTGTTCTCTTTTGTTTGCTTCTCTGAAAAGTTTTAGGCCCATATGATGTTCTTTCTTTTTGCGTTACACTTTGCCATTGTTTTTGAAAGTGTCGTGTTATTTTATTTTATTTATTTATTTTTTTTAATTTTAAAGTAAAGCTTTATTTTTATTTTTTTACATTTATTTATGTATGTGTGTGTGTGTGTGTGTGTGTGTGGCCAGCTCAGCCCACCAGGGGGCGGGGCTGGCTGGCATGTGGTGCTGGGGGATCGAACTGCAGTCCCTGTGCCCTACCAAGCTTGTTCCAAGTAGGTGCTTTAGACCACTGAGCCATCTCACCAGCCCCTGTCGTGTTATTTTAAATCTGTAAGTTGCCCTAAATTAAAAATTAGTTCACTGAGTCCATAGCATATACTACACAGGATTAGCTGTAATTTTCCTTTAGTAGGTGGCACTGAGTGGTCTGAGGTAGTGCCTGTGTGTTGTGGGATTAAAAGGATACATAGGTCCTGACCACATGAATTATTTAGAAAGTTATTTGGTGTTTAGGTTGTTTTTTTCATTTTTTTGGAGATAGGGTCTCAGTAACTCAAACTAGCCTTGAACTCACTGTGTAACTGGGCTGGCCTTGGACTTGTGGCAGTCCTCCTACCTCAGCCTTATGGAGTACTGGGATTACAGGGGTTTGTCATTGCTTAGTCTATAGTGATTTGTCTAGTTAATTTGGCATGAGTATCTTTGTACTTTTGTTAACATTGGTTATTTATTGATTCTTTGAACTGGTAGTTTGTATTGACTTTTCATTTTTGGCTAGGGCTTTAGGGATTTTGGTATTAAAGAAATATTACTGCATTCTCTAGTTGACATATAGGTTAGGTTTCTGGTATTTTGGAGTTATTAGAGACTCAAGCATGTACATACTGTATTGCATCTGTTCTCTGAAACCAATTTTTAAATATTTTAATATCTCTGGCATGCATGGTATATATCATTTTAATTGGTTTTTGCATTAAAAACAAAATAATGGTTCAATTTATAATTGATATTGTTCTAAATTTAATGAATTACAGAAATCATTGTTGTATCTCTAATGCTTGGTAGTTACCTTGGATGATGACCAGAAGGTTTAAAAATTTTTGAAAGTAGTAAAGTTTTTATTCACTTTTTAGTCTTATCAGAGTTAAATGTTTATCTATTTATTTATTATTTATTTTTTTAGAGTTAAATGTGTAAAGCAGTGCCTTAAGAAAAATCCATGAGCTGCACATTTAACATTTATTCCTCAAATATACCTGGTTATTATTTTCGTATATGGAAGGTAACTCCTACTTAATTTCACTCTCAGACATAGGAGCAATTTGAGGACTTAATGTATTTGATTTTGTATTTATATTTTGAAAATTGTTTAAGTAAAGTATACTGTCCCTGGTTTTTATTACATTTGAGCCCAGATGTTCAGGTCCATAGTGATTTCAGATCTTTCCTGATTCTAAGGTGTCTAGATTCCCAGATGACCGGTATTCCTTAGAGATTTTATACTACTCTAGATCCCTGCAGTTATTTCTTGTGGGAATCAGGGAAATACATCTACTCTTCTCGTGACCATGATTCTGGGCTTAAGATCACGGTGGCTTTAGAGGGTGGAATACGGAGTCATATGATTTTTTTTTTCCTGTATTTAGGGCAGGGTCTACAGGGTATTCAGGGTCTCACTATGTAGATTAGACTCACAGTGATTCTACTGTTTACAGCCTCCCATGTACTGGGATTATAGGCATCAACCACTGCACCCAGTCTCCATCACTGTCTCAGTGTGCCCCAGGGGTGGGGCCAGCATGGCAGGCTGAGGATCGAACCCTGGCCGCTGCACTCTGCCTAAGCAGGCACTTTAGTCTGCTGAACTGTCAGTCCTGCCCTTTAAGAGTCATATGATTTACGTATTTTATCTGCAACAAATTATCAAGCTTATTGATGATGTATATTGTGCCTAAGGAGAGTCACATGGAGAGAAAACATTCTCTTAGGCTTTCACAGAGAGCAAATTGGTCAAGCAATGGCCGTGACTCATCCACATGGCTGACACCGACAAAGGATCTACAAAGTGAGGTACAGGGTTGCAGGATAAATCCTGAGGGTACTTGACTGACCTTATCAGATACAGAAGTTACATTTCTTGTTTACAGGTCTTGCTTTATCTTGGTCTTAACCGTCCAGCAGAAAAGTATAAAAATGAGGGATAGAAAGTAAAGCCATATTAATATGCTGAGCTATAAAAGGCTCAAGTCAACAACTTCTGCAGTCAACCCACTACTGTTGTGGACTGCTGGACTGTGTTGGATTGTTTGGCTGAATTCAAGTACCTAAAGTATTTAGATGCCAATAGAATACCCATCTCTGACAGGACTAAACAAAAAAAAGGGGATACAAAGGAAAGACCATTTTGTATTTGTATATACAGAATAGTTAGGATAGATATACAGCTACTCTCGCTTAATTCAATGAGAAGAAAGATTTGTACTAATAGTATTTGGACAGGATATCCTGTCTGCTTGTACTATGGATAACCACTAAGAAGATAACAGTGTACAAGGTATTAATTATTGAAACTGTCCTATTAATCACCTTTGAAACTGTCTCATTGATATTTGTTTCTCAATAAAATAAAATAAAATTTTAAAAAATTACCAAGCTTTTTAAAAAATGATCTTTAAAAATAAAATCTGATGTATATACATGAGATTTATAGGATATTGTGGAATACATGGGAACATGTTTACTACAGTAAAGTGAATTAACGTCTATCATCTCACATTTTTAAATATTTTACGTACTTTT